TATTTTGAGAAAAGCGGGACGGCCAGGTCGATTCTGCCGGCGTGCTGTTCGTTGTCGTTGCCTTTTGTGGAGGACTCATTGGCGTTGCCCACATGCTTTCATCTAGAAAAATGAATAATCTGAAAGTCGAGCATATTTTGGCGGCATTCTTGAAATAGGTGTCATTGTCACCTGCCATTCAGAACACCCCTGGCGTTCTTTCTGACCTGTTCAACGCGGTGATATGCGGGTTTTGTCTCATGAAATTTTAGCTGTCTGATTGCTACAGCAAGTGAAGATGCTGACTTTGTTTCCTGTAAGCATTTCTATGAAACGGCGCGAGCCTGAAAGCTTCCCGTGAAGTCGAGACTCGATATTCTAGAAATAATGTTGACTGATACTACTTAGGATGCTGAGATGAAGGTGTTTTCAATGTGTAGATTATAACCAAATCTTGCTACAGAAAAGCGCTACACAAGCGAAGATGAGGGGATCATAAGCTGATGCTCATCCAAACTGTCTCCTTGAGTTGTGAAGATGGGAAAGCTATCTGTCTACTCTCATTGTCTGATGCCTAATGAACACCGATTATTTGAGCCACAGAAATGACATCCAATATGTTGAGTAGAACAAATAGGATAAGTATGGACAGCGGAAATGCGATGCACTCCCTGTTTACTGGGTGCGAGCTTCCAATGCAGGAAGAGCCACCAGATAAGTCGATGTACTTGTTAGTTTGTCGATTTCTTGGGCTGTTCGCAAGATCTCTCGCACAATTAAAAGCGCACCAATTTGTTTTATCATAGCAGGGCTTGAGGATACAGAATCGACCCGATATAGGCTATATCTTGCGCTAAAAGCATCAGTATGTACACTGATAACAGACTTCTAGTCCACAAAGACCCGGCTATATATGTTTTTTTCAGTGCAAGACTAGGCTGAGCTTAGCGTTGATACAAACTCGAGAGACCAAATGATTTTCATCGAAGCTTATGAGTCAATCAAACGAGCTCAATATTAATGCCTCCAACTGCTGGTGGGGAGTCAAGGGAAAACAAGTGGCGGAAAGAACTGGATTTGAGCAGGTCTGATGAGTCAAATACGATGTGGACCACTGAGAAAACGGAAAATATTTTTTACAACGTGAGCCCTGTCTTTTCATCAAGATATGCGGGATTTGCTCAATACAGTCAAATCGGAAAAGCTTGACCGATTTTGCCCGCAAAACTCGAGCAATTTGGCGGGGAATTTGTGGCAAGCTTTTCTGGTTTGCCTGTATCACATGAACGCCAGTATGAGGGGATAGAGCTCAAGCAAAACGTGAAGCATAATGAAACTTTAGTAAATGTTGATTCTCCCAATCCATTTTTATCAAACTTGAAGCGACAAATGTTCCATTGTGATGTCATTATGAGAGGGTCTACGTCAGACCGTGCACGGTGATTTAATTTAGAGTTGTGCCATGGTCAATTGTAGGAGGTCACGCAGGTAGAATAACGGCGTGCCATTTTTTGTTTATCTTTGTGATGCCGTCGATGTTTGCGCTGACGTCAATAATACAGAAAGGGTAGACATTGCGGCAGAATAGGAGCAAGAATATACTCTCGAGCTTCTTTGGGGCAATTGTTTCGTAGTGAAGAAGCTCATAGCGATTGATTGATATGTAAGTATGAAAGTTTCAAGGAAGTCGTGTTGGGCTTGCTGGATTTTGAATGAAGAACCTTGATGGACCATGTTGATCCAGTCAACTAACTCTCTCAATGGCATACGGTTTTGCGGGTAGTTATCGTTTTCAAACTTGTGCAAAAACCGTGCAATATCGACATGCAAGTTCCGTGCAAGTTATATCTTGCACAGAATTTGCACGCATTGCTTTTGTTGAAGGCCATGATTGGCAAATCACATTTTGGCGGCAAAAAAGTACATACAGGGAGTTCAAACCTCAAAAACTATTCGTGCAAGTTTTGTGCAAGTTCTGTGCAAATTCTTTTAACACCTTGCACAAAATTTGCACAGAGCTTGCAGACTTAAGATTTATGTATGTTAACCCGACAAAGCCCCGGCACAACAAGGGCTTCCTGGCTTTGAGGCCAACAGACTTTAGTTCTTGAGTCTTGACTCTCGACAAGCAGCAGATAGATACATACAGCAATGGCGGAATCACCTCGACCGTCTACGGGGCAATCCTACTTGACTCCAATACCACTTGATCCAAAGCTGCAAGTGCTATCCCCGCAACCTTCCAATTCAAGCATCGTCACGACCCCCCTGCAAATTGTATCTTCCGCCAACTGGGTTCAAAGCCCAACTCCGATCACAGGCCAACCTCTTCAGCTTGCGATCATCCCGCCTTCAGTGGTGAATTCAGATCACTGGAACTTATCCCAATCTGATAGTCTCACCCAAAAATTTCAGACCAATAACTCGTCATCAAAGACTATGTCGGCACTTCCTTCAAATTCTTCGACTCAAAACGGTCCCAGTGCTGATGCTCCGAAGAAGAAGCGTAAGTACACAAGGAGGAAGATCGTAGACAAATCACAAGATCATAAGACTGTGTCACAAGAATCAAATGAAGAAAAAAAAACGTTTCATGGAAGTCCGAACTCAATTCCGAGGGAAAAAGTGCTATTATCCTGATAATCGAATGGTTGGGCACTGCGACAACAACTGGTACACGATACAATTGGTGGAAGGGAGAGATGGATGTGGACTCGAGATCAATCTACAGTAAAAGAGAAATAGGTGAAAAGATCGCTCAGTACTTAGCTGAGCAAGGTTTACAAGGGAGAGATGGAAAAGGTGTTGAAACCCAGGTCAGTAAACGTACTATGTCTCTTGGTTTGAAAAACTTTGGCTAAAGCGCGCACCTGAGCCTTTGATGTAGATCCGTACTCTTGAAGGAAGTTTCACCATTGCTCACGACTTTTGTAATGGGACTGGGCAAGGTATTTTGGCTGATTTCGAGCAAGAAGCACCAGACGAGAAAGTTAAGATGGGCTATTTAGATGACAGCGATGAGTGGAAGGCAGTACAGCATTCACTCAAATCCAAGTTTGAACGTATGTAGCTTTATTTTTGTGGCGCAGTGTACCTTGAATGATACTGATGTACAACTCTCACTCTCATAAAGAGCTTGTGTTACAAAGATGCTTATACTACTACGACCTCATAGGGTTTATGTCAACTCGAACTAATGTCATACCTCAAGATGTACGTGAAAGTGGGCAAGATCTAGATGAAGCCAGTGTTCTCCCTTCTACCAAGCGCGCACGCAACCAATCTCCAAACACCAATGTATCCAAAAGCCAGGAAATCAATTCGACTCAATGGGAAAGTCCGCTTGACCCAGACGATCCTTTGGAAAACAGCTTCAGCTTTCTTTGCGAATCCCACGACCGGGAAACTTCACCTACTCCAAACAGCTTAAGCGAGAAAGAGAGCGCTCGCCGCCCACCTGGACGACCACCCAAGCGATCAAATACACATAACATCAATAATCAACTATCAAGGTCAGCCTCCAGCTCCGCCTCGGATGTCAACAATCTACTAGCAGCCCAGCTACCCTCATGTGACAAAAGAGCCAAGAGAAACAAAATGGAGAAAGATCGTTGGAATTTTGAGGAAAAATTCATGAAGGCTGAGCAAGAGGCACGAAAAGAAGAGATTAAAACTCAGGCCAAGCTCGCTGAAGCAGTTTCTCGTCATCTTTCGGGTGGAGATGAAGTTTTAGATTCGAAAGAACGTGCCGAACGATCTCAAATTAAACTTGAGCAAGATCGAGTTCAACTTGAACTCACACAATCCCAGTTGGCTCGCAGTTGTGAAGACCTCATCACGGCAAGGAGTGAACGACATCTGGCTATGTTAGGCAAGTACAGGGCTTTGGGTTTTTCCCTTGAGGAAGCAAAAAAGGAAGTGGAAGAGGCTGAAAAACGATTTCAAAGTAAGTTATATCATCATGATCTCCTCACTTGGGTCCACAAAGATCGACTGACCAGATGTATGATTTGATCTGATAGGGGAATTTGAGCAAGGGCCTGAAAGATAAATTTCAAACTCAAGTCATAACTCTTTGTGTTAATTCTTTTTCTGTTAAAACGACTCGGTGAAATCCTGGTTTGGTTTTTTCCAGAAAATCCGAAAATCTTGGACTCATGAACATCTTCAAAATTTGTTCCTTACGTTTGATTTGAATCTTATTATTATCAGGGTCAACATGATAACTTAGAAAAAATTCACTTCTTTGTACATCAGCGCACTGCTAACTAAAAATTACAAAATTGTTCTCCTTCTTTTTAGAATCGACTAAGTCTTATAATTTCTTTTACTTTTTGTGATTTGTTTGAAAACTTGAAAAATCAAACTTTCCTATGAATTCCCTCGGAATATGAGAATAACTTTGCAGTTTGAAAAGAAAAGTTTAATTTCAAAAAGAGGCATATGTTGGTTTTCAACGATAAACGAGAGGAGAGAATACAAAAGCAAAGTAATCAAGTAGACAAAATTAGTGAACTATTAAACCAAATCCATCACAAAGATTCACAAAATAGACAAAATACACGCATTCGCGCGTCATCATCATCATCTTCTAATATTTCATTCAAGATAAATGGGTCTTCAGGGTCAGTAGGCGAAGTAACATTATAGTTGAAAGTAGATTGCTTGGGTTGATCCAAAAGGAAGTTGTGCAGGATGCAACAAGCTGATATCCAAGCATTCAAACGCTTTACACAGTTTTCATCCCTCAATATTAACCGTAAGTCTTTCAGAGACTGAAATCGTGATTTTAACATACCATTACAATGTTCAATTGCAACGCGTAATTCACTTAACAATTTGTTGAAAGCCATCTTATGGTGTGTCAGAGGAATACCTCCCACACGTTTAAATGCCGGAATAATGAAAGATGTCGAGCTGTAACCTGAATCCGCAAGGAGGTACTCTCCTTCAGAAAAAAAATCCCTCGGGTCCGACCACATCTGGACATTAGGATAGGGTTTTTTGAGTGAAAAAAAAATCAATGATATGCAAGATGGAATAGTCCAAGACAAAACTCACCGATGATGTACGCATGACTCGCTGGTCATGAACGCTGCCACACCATCCATGGCGAGCAAATGTGATCCTGCGTTTGTGGGTGCATACCAGCATCGAGTTGACCGCATAGATATATTTGCAAGTCCAATAGTCCTCTTTGCACTTTGGAGGACCAAAGGCAAGGGGGATCAGCGTACCATCAACAAAACCGACACAACCTTTGAAAGGAGTGTTCGCGCCAATTGCATTTTGAAGATTCACTCGCTCCTCGGGTGTTGGCCAAGACAAATACTTTCTTTCCAATCGGACAATTGCCACCACACATCTCCACGTGAAGTTTTCCACACTTCCTTCTGAAACCACCGAGTCACTGATTGTAAGTAAAAGAAAATCTACAAAGTGTCGAAAGCAAAGAACTTCACCTGAAATGCCAAACCAATGAGCAAGAATACCGATTCCACCCCCGTTCCCAGAAAGTCCAAGATGTGCCAGAGTAACCAGTAGTTGAAGCTCAACTGGGGCCTGCGGACAGGTGGAAGCATTCTCAAATACGTCACAGGGCCCAATTTCATTAAGCAAAGTTAAGAAGCTTGAACGATTCATTCGTGCCTGGTGACATATGCAGGGGACCTTAGCAACCGTGTTTTAGACCACATCATGTAGATAAGTAAGCATACAAGCCTTAAGAAGGTCACATCGCGTGAGGCCCAGATTCTATTGAAGATGGTCAGCGGATATCCCCGAGGTCCGCTACGCCTTGATTCAAAGTATCGCTCTCGCTCGATCATGTCAATCGCAAGTGTCCATAAGGCTGGATCAAGTTGGTGTTCAGCTCGGCTTGATTTGATTAATCGGGTTCTGGGTCGTCGTTGAAAGAGCATCCACAGGGCCACACACACATGAGGCTCGAGATTGAGGACTGTTTGAACCTGTGGAAGCTGTAGTAGCTGGCAGAAGGCGGAGAGACCGGAAGATGAGGCGAAGAAAAGCTTTTGTCTTGCGGTTAGGAGAAGACTGTGAGAAGAGCTGAAAGAGTGGTCTTGATTGGCGAGTCGCCTGAGGGTTCGAATCATTTGTCTTCGAGATGAAACACGTGGCATGATGGGTAGGTAACGGTTTAGCGATCTGATCAGCTTGTGCAGTTTTTTTTACCGGGGTTGTGAAACAAATTGATTCTGCAAAGATTTCTTGCCCGGATCTTGCCCGGATCTTGCACGTCAGTCTTGCACAATTCTTGCACAGGTTCGAACTCCCTAATAATTTGGCCAAAAGTGCCTAAATTTTTTTCACTTTTGCCTCCCTGCCCTTCACATCTCATCTCATCTAATCTAAAAACTAAAAAGATACAATCCCGACCCCGCTCTTCTCGGTACTCCGGATTTGTTCCTCAATTCTTGGTCCGGTCCACCTGGAGGAGATGGAGACCCACCCTATTTATAGTACCTACTGATTGCTTTTCTGTTGTTTCTCTTTTTGTTTGATTGCATTTCCCTCAAATTCCTTTTGTTGGTGGACTTTTCTTCTGTCATCAATTGATACCAATCATGTCATACACATTCTTTTAGACCATTGGGCAATATTCTTTGTGCTTTTTGCTTTGGCTGCACACATTATGATTACTTTTCCTTTGGCCAACACTCGACTCACAACGAAACACATAAAAGGCTCATGTTTTTTTGGAACGGGGTCACACCAACCAATCCCTTTCCAAACTATTTCTCACCACAAGTCCCTGATTAAACTTATTTTGCAAACCACTTCGAGCCAATCTTCAACCTTTGCCGTTGTCCTTTGTCTGGTCACAAATGTAGATGATGCTTTATACACGTTATTCATAATGCACACATATGCTGACACTGCAAAGCAACCATTGATTGTTGAGAAAACGAGGAACTGGCAAACTCATCTTGAAGATGGGAATATAATTTTCTGTAGGAATTTCGATTTCAATTGAAGGTGTGATGTGTTTTTGAAACAGAAATGACACATGAGTCTGCTTTTTAAGGTTTTTTGGTAGGAACACTGAGGCACGAGTTAACTGTAAAACATCAAAAGTAGAGTCATGTAGGAGCCTTCTCGCCCTTGGAACAGGAAGTATGCAATCAGGACTGTCACATGCGCCTGGTCTCAAAGGTTAAGCTTCAACATTTCCAAAAATGTCTTGAAAACCGGATTGACAAAAGAAAGTGTACGGGCAAAGATTGTTCAACTTCTCACTGACTTAAAAGCAGGTGTCCAGTGCTTCCTGAGATTATTCCACTTAGTTAGCACTATTGAGATGGTAAATAAAGTGGGGTAGGTAGTGTGTAATGTGAAATCTGGTTCAACCGTGTGCAAGTCTGGTTTAATGACACGTTACATCTTGTAGTTACTTTACACCAAATCAACTGCACACCATGAGGTGCTTTTGAACTGTTGCGGGCTTGCCCGCATGTTCTCTAGTTTGTCAAAAAAATGCTAAAGGTTGCTTCTCAAGAAGCGCTTTCCGGAAGTTCTTTAAAAAATTCTAAATTAGTGTTTTGTTGTAGGCACATTTGTATTCTAGGTGTTTTTTTAACTTGAACCCCCCTATTTTGAGGGATTATGCCACTATAAGGCAGATTATGATCAAGCCAACATGAACCACCGGTGACATGAACTTCGGCTTTGCCACAGATCTAGTTTTGTTGCTTTAAGTTGATGGATTCTCAATCTGATTCTGAATTCTTCTGGTAGCCATCTTAACAGTCCATCTTGCATCAACGCTTTGGATTAGGTGAAAGCCGAGTATGTAGAGCTGAGTTGGTTAATTTCTGGTTTGATTTTAAATGAAGTTGTCGGAATGGCTGCCAGACTGTCAAGTTTGAATGGTGTTTAAAAGAATTGATTTGGTAATTTCTGACCTTCGAAGTTCGAACCCTTGAATTTGGTCGATGAAAACTCGTCATCACTAAAACACTCAATTTTTGAGTCGTTAAATTCAAACTATATACAACACACCTTTTGTACAGCTTCACCTTGACTTCATTTTGTATCACTTCCTCTCCCCTGTTTGTAGGAAGTTGACAATCACATTCGAGTTTTTGTCAGTTTTATCAATATCCTATCAGTTTCAGTATACTCTTGTGTTGGTCTTGTCTGTGTTGCTGAGGGGTATACGTTCAACTAGTCAAAGCAAAGTCGAGCTTCTTCAACAATTTTGTTATATAAACAAACAAACGGTCGAATTATTTGGATTGTCACTACTGCTCGTCTCACTGGACAGATTCAACATCACATTTCACGATGAGTTCTACCAACACCTCCAACGACATTTCAAACCATACCTCCAGTTTTTCACAGCAGGCATCTCAGTCTCGATCAAATTATGAAAAAGCTCACTCCTCATCAACCGATTCTTTACCAACCTCTCCCCCTGAACGTTATCCTCAACAACATTCTTCACTTCATCTTCCGTTTCATCAAGAAAATCAATCATCACCCCCAAGAGCCAGTAAACTACGTAGGCGGATTAGGGCTATTGTCATTGGCATATGCATCTTCGCTGCCATGTCTATCGCAACAGATTGGTGGGCACATGCACAGTAAGCTTCAACAATAAGTTTTCAAATCCAAAGACTTGCTCGTTGTATATCTCCCTTGTACTATACTTACTATTCGTTTGCTCTTAGATTTTACACCTTTCGATATCCTTGGATCTATCAATCCACACCCAACTCAAACCCTAATACCACATCATGGAAAACTACCAGTAAACTCTACCGAGGTCTCCCAGCTTGTGACCCATTCTCAGAACCAGGATCCGTTGTCTTTAATGAAGAATTCCATCACGACGCGAATTGGGTCCCATTTGGCTCGTCCTGTCCCCCTAGTCCTGATTACTTATCCGCTTTGAGGTCAATCTTGAACGTGCCGATCAATGCAACACTTGAACATCGTAACGAAGTCATTCAACATCCTACTTATCAAGGTCATCATTATGGCGGTCAGGCTGGTGAAGGCCGAGAGCATCTAGATATTTGGGGTCGTCCCTACCCAAATCTTGACTTTCTTCGTGGCAAGACCATTCTATGGCTGGGCGATAGTGTTGACCGGAACGGCTTACAACACCTTCACGAGCTTCTCGGAGCTAATTACCGCGGCTTTTCTTACACCGACATTGATGGACCGGTTCCTGAAGGCTGGGACCCACGAAACACACCTTGGGAAGTCGACCTTGGCCTACTCAACCCTCGGAACCGTCAGACACCCAACCCCAAAAACTCTGCAGCTCAATTCGCTGGTCTCAATTGTCGAGTTGTCAATGGATTCTTTTATGGACTTGTTTGTTGCTTCTTGTCTATGCTCATGAATTATGATGAACGCAACACTTTCCATACATAACTGACACCGAATCATTTTGAGTACCTTGACTTTT